TCTAAAATCAATAAAAACATTTTTTTTAAAAGTCAACTTCCTTTCCTCCCTGAACTCTCACGCCCTCAGTTCACACCCACAGCAGCTCCGCCCACTGGACGGACTTTCTAATCACTCTCATCACGTGTGGTTTCCAGGGAGACAGGCTGGAGCCACACTCACCAGCTCAGGAAGCTTCCCAGCCGCACAACTGGAGGATCGAATCCAACTGTCGAGAGCATGGGCTGGCCTCTGGGTGCCCAGCAGGCGGCAGGCGTCACCCTCCGGCCCGCACCCAGGTCTGGACCTCTCGGCTCAGTCCTGCAGGACGCGCCTCCGCCTCCCCACCCTGGGCCCTTCCCTGGGGAGCCCAGAGCGGAGCAGGCTGGCCAGGAGCAGTCTCTTTTCCCAGCCTCGTTCACTGCTCAGTGTGGGGCCCGGCAGGGATGCCTGCTGTGTCTGCCCCTGAGCAGCTGAGCTGGGAAGAGCTCCCTGGCCCTCACCAGGCCCAGGGTCCTCCCAAGGGCCTGAGCCTGCCCGGCTCCTACCGTGGCCCACCATGTGGGTGGGAATGCCCAGGCCAGGGCATGGAGGAGCCCCCGGAGGCAGGGTCCCCACAAGTGCGTCCCACCACCCCCATCAGCTGTGCCTTGGGGACCTTCCCCGGCTGGAACCTTAGCCCTAGGCACCTGCCAGGGGAGACTGAGGCAAGGGGTGGGCCACAGCCAGGACCAGGCAGGCAGCCTGCCGGCCCCCAATACCGCCCCCCTGCACCCTCGCTCAGGGGGTGCCTGGGGTCAGAACCGGTGAGACAACAGGGAGAAGGGGCTGCACTCCCCACAGCTGGGGGGCAGGGTGGAGGCTGCACAGGGAAGAGGGAGGGGCAGCCTCCTTCGGTCTGGGAAGGGCTGTCGAGATAAAAATAAAAGCCCAGAGTTTCTGCCTCCTGAGTTTGTGGTTGGGGCCCACAGGCATCCAAGCCACAGGCAGCATGAGCCGCGCACACGCCACCCAGGAGGGGCAGGAAGAGGGGCTGGGCAGGCCCTGGAGCTGCGCTGACAGATTGGTGACACTGGACCAGGGTCTGGACTGCGCTGCCACTGAAGCTTGGGGGTAATTAATTTTCGGGGGGGGGGGGGGAGGCTGCCCTGTTCACAGTAAGGCATTCAGCACAACCTGGCCTCCACCCCCTGTACCTCCACTGTCACAACCGAAATGTGCCCAGAAGCCCTGGAGGCCACGGGCAGCCTGCTCTGCTGGCCCCGCCCAAGATGAAAGAGGCTGGCCCAGGGGGCCCTGTGGTGGCCCACCAGCCCCCAGGTGCACAGCTGGCCAGCGCACCCCGAGCTCCCGGGCCGGCCCAGCTCCAGAGAGAGGCTTTGTCTCCGATGCTCTGACCACTGAGCTGGTCCTCCTCCCGCCAGCCCGGGCAGCTGCCGTTGCTGAGGCCACACTTGGGACCAAGGAAGGCAGGGTCCATTCCACCCCTGGGCGGCTTTCTCAACCAGGCCCTGGGCCAGGGGGCCTCACACCACCATCGCCACCACCACCGTGGGGGAAACCAAAACACCTAAGGATGTCGGTGACCCCTAGCAACCGAAAGCTGACTGCCTGCCCCTCGGAGGCCACCAGCAGAAAGATGGGCTTGTGCCCCTCCGAGGCCCACGGTTCCCCCTCAGGACATGGCCACGG